AAAACAGAGAGAGAAAAACAGAGAGAGAAAAACAGGGTTACTGTTAAAATTATAATGAATCAGTGGTAGGTAGTAAAGATTATGAGTATAAGGGAGATAAATAATTAATGACCCCTGATTTGAAGAGTTTAACTGTAGTGTTCAGCAAAGCAGCCATATTTCATTCTACAAAGTAGCAGTTCTTGGTGGGGGGGGGGGGTGACTGCCTTCTTATATTTGAAAAACAGCAAATATGTGGATGAGTCAAGCCCATGGTAGTCACATGGTGTATCCTACTTGTAAAGCTTTGTGGAGCTAAATAATAAAGTTCCTCTGAACATTTGGCATGAAAATAGTAATAGAGTTCAAAATCAATTTGACCTGGAAAGGGAAGATTAAGTTTCTGCAGCACAAAACTCAGGCCTTCCCAGTTCTGTCTATGTGTTGGCAAACCATCCTCACTCCCTTTGTGTTCCGTTGATAAAAAGCAAGAACTGTATTTTGCAGAACAAATAACCAAGAGAATGCTTCCCTAACAACTACAATCTTTTTTTCTAAGTTCAGTCAACCAATATCTATCCTTCTTATCCTCATAATACTCTTACTTCTCCCTTCCTCCTCCCTTACAATCTCCTTCAGTAACCCTTTGAGTGGTCCCTAGGCCATGTATTGGGTAAACTAACTATAAATTAAAAATATAAAAAAAATATACCATTTCTAGTTTAATTTTGATTCTTGTAAAAAAAAAAAAAAAAAAAAAAATACATGACAGGAGGAGTTAGGCACTTCCTGGAGTGATAAAGGAAGCTGTGCATTTTTCCAGCATCTTCCAACTATGGATTAAATAGAAAAGAAGGCTAAACTCTCTAGCCTTGGTTTACAGCCAGTCTAGGAGAAAGACTACTCTGAATTCAAAACCATGGAAAAGATGAATGTGAAACCACTCTAATATATTTCCTTAATCATAGCAATTCACATAAGAAACAAATCTGGAAGACCTTCATTACCTAGGATACCCAAAAGGGGCATGGCATTCATCCAAAAGGGGCATGGCATTCATCCAAAAGGGGCATGGCATTCATCCAAAAGGGGCATGGCATTCATCCAAAAGGGGCATGGCATTCATCCAAAAGGGGCATGGCATTCATCCAAAAGGGGCATGGCATTCATCCAAAAGGGCATGGCATTCATCCAAAAGGGGCATGGCATTCATCCAAAAGGGGCATGGCATTCATCCAAAAGGGGCATGGCATTCATCCAAAAGGGGCATGGCATTCATCCAAAAGGAGAAAAGTGTTCCAATATCACTATCATAGCTTTTAAATAATTTCTTTAACATTTTTTAATAAAAAGCAATAAAAATGAAAGAACTAATTATTATAGATTCAAATCTATAGTTAGCAGAGAATAGATTTTACAAATACCCAATTCAGGCAGAAATTAACCAATATATGTTGAAAATCTAATCAAAATTTACCTTTGCAATTATAGGAATAGTTCTAATATAATAAAAAATATCTCACCTGTCGAGACCAAAGATTTTGTTGAAACCTGTTCAATTACTTTGGTCTCAAATGTTCATTCCTGCTAAATACTGCCAAGTAATTTAATCTATACCACATTCATATTCATTCAAGTTGAGTAGGAGGTGGTGGCGGTGGTGGCGGTGGCGGTGGTGGTGGTGGAGAGGAGGGCACTCTTGAGTGAGGTTGTAAATTTTGCTGGAGTTCAGTCCACTGTCCACCAGATGAAGCATCATCTATTTGTGTGGGTGAAAAATAAATAAAAATTTTCAATACCTTCTTTAACTACAAAAGAATTAATTTGTGACACTGGGATCTCAGGTGATTAATCAAACAAAAAAGGAAAGAAAGAAAAGAAGGAAGAGGAAAGAGTCTACTAACTGGATGATAATTGTTGAAATTCATAAGAAGATGCATTGAAAAGTTGAAAAGAAAATTAAAAATGAAATGTGTTGAAAAATCATGTTTCAAAGTAGCAAGTGAACTACCAAGTGTTCCAAGAAGAATCAAACCTAAATTTAACTAGACAGAATTCAGTAATATTGAGCAAAACCAAGACTAGCCATCCTTCTCCACTTCCTGAGGAAGAGACTATTAATGCATCTTCAAAGATGTCAAATAGAAAAACATGTTGATAAAGAAACCCAAGTGGTCACCAAAATAACATTTAAATATCATTCTGGGCAAAAAAGCCATCAAACCCACCTAGTTTGAATTGGTCACCCAGAAAAAAAGTGTCCCTATAAAGATAGAGATTAGCCTGACAGACTTGTTCATTTTAATTTTTGTGACATTCAACAGAACAAATTTTATATCAGACATTAATTTGGATTCCTTTGGATACAAGTGATAAAGAAAAATTAATTACAATTTTGGAGTGGGCATGGGCAAAAAGCCTGTGTGGTCTTGCTGACTCAGAAAACACATAAATAGTGGAAAAATAACTTTTTTTATCACTAAAGAGATTGGGAGTATTTTTCTTTCCTATTCTTCCCACCCATAACAATTCTTGTGATTAGCTAAGATTTGGGAAATCACAACATGAGACAAGCTGATGAAGAAAGATTAATTATTGGAATTCTGAAAATTTGGATTCATCACAGGAATGGTGTGTTAGCCCTTGGAGTAGCCTGAAGTTAGATGTTGACAAAGTGGGAGAAGGAAGAGAGATTAGCACCACCTGTATGGAGCAATGGTGCAAGAGGAGACATGAAGGGAGTTGGAATTAAGGGAGGACTTGATTCCTCTGATCACTCTCAAAAGTGGGCTGGACAACCCCAAGTGAGAAGATGGAATTTTAGAAAAAGATGCTAGGTAGTGGAAGATAACTGAATCCAGACCCTGGTCAATCCCACCTTTGCCAGATACAGGAGTCCAAACCTCCAACTTATATGAAGTTGGAGGTTTGGACTACTTGGAGAGTCCCCACACTACTGCTACTGGAATACACATCATTCACTGAGACCAAAACCTTGTGCTGGCTCTGAAGACCAGAACTTAGAAATTTAAGTTACTACTGACACAATCTGCAGACTTCAAGGGGGATACAGTGTCATTTGGCTATAACAACAAGTTATAAGGGTTAAAACCACTGTATACAACAAATCATATATAAACCAAATCATTGTTACATTTTTAACCAGAGTTAATTCTTTATTCCAAAGAATCCTTTTTTATGTGTAGCTCCCAGCTGTTGACCTATCTTCACTTCAGTTTGCTTCACAAGCGATCTTCTCATCCTCTGGGATAAAAAAAAACAAAAAAAACCACATGGCAGAGGAGTGAATGGTTGTGAATAGACAAATGCCAGCTAAGTCGAGTAGAACTGTGCCCATCATCATGATACCAGCAACAAACCAGTCACACACTAATGAGTGAGGAGTCAGCTAGATGGTAAACACAGTGGTCTGAAGGAGCTTAAGGACCAATGTGGGCTACAAATTAATCTTTACATAAAATAATTCTATAATTTTTTTAAACTTTACAATTTTCATTCAGTACAGCATAGCTAATCAATGGACTTGCTTATGTCACAAAAATCATGTTAATGTAGCATTAGAAAATGCTTAATTTTGCAGAAAGCCCCACTTATTAACACACTATAATCACAATATTTTCATTTAAGGCACTAATAATTTATCAAGAAAGTCAAATAGCATGCCTAAAAATTCAATTAAATTAATTTATTCAAACTTAATTCAAAATAATTTGGTTTGTAACAAAAACTTTTTTTCTACAAGTTTTTTTTGACATTTATTGCCAGTGGTTCTCAACATTTTTTTCTTTCTTTTTTTTTTTTACCCATGGACAACTTAATTTTATGCTAAATTATTTTGGTGGACTCTAACCATTCAATAAAAAAAATAATTTTTTACTAATAGATAAGTTTAGGGATTGTATTACACAAATGGTAAATGTATATGCTTCCTTTATATATAATCCCCGTATAATTTATATATTAAATTAATTTTATTATTGACATCTTATTTTTTTAATATTTTATATTAATTCATATTAATATATTAGTATTTTATTTTATTAATAGTTAAGATTAATATTATTATTAATATATTAATTTATATAATAAATTATAATCTTCATATAATTTTCCTTTATATATATCTTTCTCACTTTTTATTCAACTTTTACAATCAAAACATCCAGAGTAAAAGGGACACTAACTTACATCACTTGATCTCTCTTCTGCTAGTTTTAGAGTAGTTTATCTATTTTTAGTATTTTAATATGGCATAGGTCCCTGTGGAAATTCCAATTCTCAGTTGTAACTGACCTATGATATGTACACTTCCCCCACCCCATGTATGGTATGTATACATTTTTACCCCCCAATGTATGGTATGTATACATTTTTCCATCCCCATCTATAACATGTATACTCTCACTCCATCTATATGTAGTTTTTCAAAAATCAACTAATTATTCTATTTCAATCAAATTTTCAAAATTTAATTATAAAAAGATTTTTTTTATAAAAAAATCTGTAATAATTTTTTTATATAATCAATCCACTCAGCTTTAATTTTATGAATTTTTTTGTCAAGTATCATTTGAACACAAAAAATATTTATATTAAGATAAATCTTTGGAAAAAGAATCTGCAACTACAAGTGTTTGTGAAGTCAAGTTAAATATTTGCCCCTTTGTTAATGAAATATCTGTAAAACTATTTTACCAGTACAATTCAAAAATCTTAATAAAGCACAGTGTATGTCTGTCCGTCCATCCATTTTTCAATCTCAGCAAATCATAAACAATATAAAGTAACAGGTAGTAAACTACTGTAGTTACATATAATGAAAAATTGAATAACTCATTTAAAGTTAAATTTAAATATCGAACAAAGTGAAAGGTTTAAAAAAAATAGTTCTTTATTAAAGATTTAACTTTAATTTCGCTTTTGTCACAATTTCAATTGATATTGTCTAATTAAACCATAATTAAAACTTAAGCAGGGCACAGTATGTTGCTCATAGGTTTTTTTTTTTTTTTTACTTTTCTAGCATGCGTACTGTGACGTATTAAAAATATTACATAGTTCAAGTTACCTAATGTCTTTTAAGACTGACTTTATGTGAAGGGATAATAAAGAATGGTGATTTTAAAAGAAAAGAAAAACTGAATGCAAAATAAATGTAAACTACGGAAGAATATGAAGAAAGATTATGCCGAATTAAAGAGTCAAATAAAAGATAAAATAATTTTATTATTTCTAAATTCCTATATCATTTATGTACATTAAAGGCTGAAGGCATAACAGCCCTCTGCAGGAGCTAACCTAATGTCCACTCAAAGGATGGATTCTAGGCTAGTATATAAATATAATTCATTTTGCAATTACATTGGTTATATTTTTTCTATGAATAATCTAGAATTTTTTTTTTTAAGACTGGAGAATGCATGGAAACAATAATCCAAATAATAAATGGAAATTTGTTTTTTTTTTATTGAAAAAAAATAAATAAATAAAAAATAAAATAAAATAAAAATCACTAGAAATTTTTGCAATATGCTAATGCATGTTAAAATCCACACAGTATTTAGTATTGTTGAAGTTATCACTAGCATTTTTTTGTTAAGATTTACAAGCTCTATATTTCATTCAATTTCACAAATCAATCAATGAAATATGAACAAGATGATTTGTTTTGAAAAATACTTTGCCAAAAACTCTACTTCACGGTTTTTACACACGCTAGTCAAACCAACGCTTTGTATCCCTTTACCTGTCTGCACTTATTGCCAAAATTTTATTTCAATCGGTTAATGTATAGCTATTCTAGAGAGTGAGATAGACAGATGAATGTACAAACAGAAGTCAGAATTTTATATATAACTTTCAAGAAAGGCAATAAAACAACTAAGATGCAAGGGGTTACAAAGAGTGAAAGAATAAGAGAAAAATAAAAATATTAAGGAAAGAGAACAATAAAAGAGGAGGAATAAAAACAACAGATAATGAGTGACATTGCATTTAAATTTTTTGAAGATGACTGGAACAGAATTCCACAAGTGAAAAGTGAAAGAGAAGAAACTTACAATTATATCCAGCAATTTCAACTGTAAAATGAGACCTAGCTGCCAATCTAGTACTGCACTTAAATTCATAAAGTCATGGAACCAAAGAGGAAAGCTCATCTGAACAATTACCATTAAAGTTGTTATAGAAAAGGCTCAGGAAAGCTATGTTATGGTGATGGAAAAGTGATTGAAGACAAGATGTCAGGTCAGGACTGATAACATTGCAGACTCTTTTTTGAATTTTATCAATAACTCCTAAACTAGATGTGGCAGCAATATACAATGCTGGTCAATTGTTTTTGTTTAATGGCATATCAATCTCTATGGGTTATTTAATGCCAAAATCTAGATATTTCATATGCAATTTTATTTATTTTTTTATGATGACAATGGTTTCAGTGATACAAGTCTTATTAATTAACCCATTGCTAGGCGTAAAAGAGGTGGATTCATACTTTTTCCAAAAGTTATTTGGACATAAGTGAATATAACAAACTCAACTGGAATTGGAACTCTGCTCTTCAATTAACAATTCTGAGTCATTATCCATTATACCACCCACACATCCAATGTTAAAGAACCTGGTATTTCCAAACAGTTACCCATCTAGGCACTGACCAGGCTTGACATTGCTTAATTTCTGTGATCATACAGAAAACAGTGTTTCAACGTGATGTGGCCATAAGCCATTCCAATGCAAGGATGAATGGTAGTATATACAGTGTATTGTATGTAGAAAAGTTCTGTATTTTATTCTGAATATAAAGAACTTCCTTTTAATAGCAAGACATTTATCTTCCTTTATAGTGATAAAAAAAAGATGGCCACAAATATAATAAAGACAAATATATAGCCACAGGAAAAAAAGTTGACAGTTTCTCATCTTATCACCTGGTTGTTGGTAACCACATCAAAGTAAGAGAGAATCAGTCTATTTTATTACATCAATCTATTACAAATTAGACAATGCTGCACATATATAAACAATTTTTTTAACATTTCAAAGAACAATATTGTGTGTTAAAAAAATTAAATTAAATCAGTCAGTTATGTGTCATGTGTGATACATGTGTAGGCGATCATGTATCTTTCGATACATGACTAACAAGGCAGATTTTTTTCCTGCAGTAGGTTCCCATTTCTTTCTGCGGTAGACCAGTTGCCATCTAAGTCTACAGAACGCAGTCTGTCCTGCTATTTACCCATAGCTGGAGGGGGAGAAGTAGAGGATTCATACTTTTCCCAAGGGTATTAGCACATAAGTGAATGCAATGGATTTGAATGGAATTCAAACTCAGCTCTCCAATTCCTCAATCAGAGCTGCCATCTATTACTCCACTGTGCCTCTGACTGACTGACTAAATTAAATACAGAAGAGAAATATCTTTATTTCCTAATTGCATGGTGAGAAAGTTATTTTCCATTTACTATTATCAAACCATTTCATTTATTCGTACCAAAAATGCTTTATTAGAAAAAAAACATTGAAATAAAAAAAAAGTTAAATTGTCAAAATACTTACTTATGCCTCCCAAAGCTATTTCTGTCATACTAAGACATAAGGAATCTAACTGAGCAGTAATTTCTGTGTCATTGTTCACCTCGGATCCTGAATATAAAACATAACATAGTTATAACATAAAAATGACAAGTTATGTATTTTGTTAATCATATTGTTTTAACAGGTGATGAATCATATTTATTTTCTGCTTTGAATGAAAATTGCACAAAAGACTAATAAAAAGTTCTCAATCTGACCTGCTTAACAAAAATCAATATTATATTTGGTCATTATATGACTCTGAGGCTGTGAGGTGGTTAAACATTAGCTCTGAGCAGAAAAAAAGGTAAAGCCCAAAATGAAATATAAACTGGAAGATAGAGAGAATAGAAGACATCTTCCCTGGTAATGTGAAAGTAAAGAACAGGATATCTGGATTGTCTCACCTCTACAAATTAGAATGATACACCATGAGTTTACTTTATCTAAAATCTGATAAAGCAAAATGGCTTTACCTCTTTCTTGGGAAATTAGAAAAAAAAACACAACATTGGTGAGAAGAGAGGCAGACAGGAATTATATTTTTGTTGGCAGAAACGAATTAAGAAATGGAAACAGGGAATTAATTTGCTGTGAGGGTTAGGATTATGAAAATCAATCCTGTCATAACAAGCAGGTGGTCTGGTTTATGTTTTCAGTAGGATGGGAATAAGGCCAAGGATTAAAAACAGAATTTAGGTAAACAAATATATTTTCATTGACAAAAACAAATTGAGAAATAATTTTTAACTATCACTTGGAAGGTTAAAATGAAAAGATGATCTGGTTTGTGTTTTCACTGGACAAGTATGTCCAGGAAAGGAGTCAAAGAATTGAAATTAATGAGGAGAATAAACCACACCCTTTCTCCTATGCATTTTAAAAATTAGATTTGTCACATAGACAGTTATGTCAGCCCTGAGAAGTAGGCAGAGTTAGAATACCAAGAAGGAAGGAGGAAGAGGCAGAATTTAACAGAGTAGTGGTGCAAGATGTGAAGTGAAGCAGGTTGGAGTTAAGAGATGAGTAATCCCTGTGTCTACTCCCAAGGAAGGTGGATAATTCTCCAAATTTGGAAAGTTGATTAGGAAAACAGAAATAGGGAACAAAGAAAACCTTTACTGGAAGTAATGAAAATTACGGAATCACTAAATCCCCAGAAGCCTTATGCAGCAATCCCACTGGATACTTTGGCCACTTTTACCCAAGTAGTAGTTTGCTGTACTAATAAATGTCTGAAACCTAAAGGCCAACATCTTGAGCATCTCTTGTGATTGTAGACTCCAAAGGTAACTTGTATTAATCTTGTGATATCTGAATAAATTTAGTATTATAATAGCTATACAAAAAAAAAAAAAAAGAATAAAAAGAAATCTTATTAAATTAAAATGTGCTTTCCCAGAGGATTCAAACCTGCCATCCCCATTGACAAAGGGGGACCATTAGATTATCATTCACAAACAGTATCAATTATCAAGTTGAATAGTGCCTTATAAACACACATCTTTCCCTGTCTCTAGAAACATGCATATCAGGTCAGTTTCATATCCTAAGATAAATAAAGCAATTTCTAAAAATGTGATGGGTTTTTTTTATTTATTCATCTGACAGACTTTATCACTTCAATGTCATATTTAGTGAATATCTGTATTTGAGTAGATGCTCCATTTACTTAATCAACAGTATTTTTAAAGGATATTGCAAATAGATTAACATATTTTTACAGGGTCATATATCACATTAAGATCCATAAATTTAAGCAATGATTAATTAATATTAAGTTTAATACAGAGAAAAATTCCATATTCATATGTAAAATTTGTTACTACACACTTTTATAACTTAAAACAAATTATATTTTAGATCAGGGATTGGCACCCTTCTTCAACCAGTGATCTACAGGAAATATGAATCATCATAAGCTGAACCACGTAACTAAAAGAAAATTCAAGGTATTTTTTTGTTGACAGTAATTTAGTCATTTTTGTTACAGAAGACCATATGCTTAAAATTGAGGAAATTTTACTTTTTGTCTTTCTTTAGAGAAAAGATTTTTTTTCTATAATTAAAACAAAAAAAATTGAAGTTTTGCTATATCACTGGTGGCAGTGTGATTTGCTTCAAATTAATTCATTTGACTCTACAGAAAAAATATATTTCCTTTCCAGTGAATAAAAAAATTATTACAAACATTTTCCTGTTTCTAAATTATGTATACATGAATGATCAGGAAAAGTCACTCATGGTTTAAAATACTAAAAACATCACCATCAACAAAAGAGTACTAAATTCAAGAAACATTGTATTTAATCATTGTTTATATGTGGTTATATATGAGAAATGGTGAGTGAACAAGTAAAAATGAAAAAAGCAAAATTTTAAATGTTATTTTCTTCATGAAAAGTTTGCCTATGACTATTTTATATAATTTTAATCATCCACACTATATTTTCTAATAAACTTCTATATTTATGCTTTGTTATGTTTATAATGGTAGTTGTTAAACTAATCTGAGTACCATGTTTATTTATATTCACTCCCTTACACACTTTATTACCTCCCCCTTTTGTTTTCTTTTTCATTCATGTTGATTTTTTAGAAGCTGCCGATTGTTTCATTTTCACTCTAAAATACAAAAATACTGTTCATTAAGGAATTTTTCTCTAGTTCTTTTTGTAGAGAGTAGAACATTTTAACAGTAGATATTTTAGGATTCCAATACACTGGCATACTAAGAATTATTTTATGTGTGACTACAATATTTTCTTTTGCATTTTTGAATGAAAAAGGTAGAACAGGATAGGGAAGGGGAGTTGTATTATACACAAGTACATTTTCAGAAATTTTTACTCAGCTTAAAAAACCCTTTTATTTGAAACATGAAGATTGAAAATACACTGTTAGCACAACAGATAAAACACAAAATAGGCAGGTGTTTATAAAAGGTTGGAAATATTTGTTTCTCTCTTTATTCTTAATGAAAAACAATATTTTTTTATTTTCATAGTTCATTAATATATAGAAATATAACAAAGTCATATCAAACAGAAAAATATAACAGATTAACACCTTAAAATGTATTACCAGGTATTTCTAGTTAGTACCTTTCCCCACAAAATAAGATTTGAAACAAAAATAAGAAGCATGCAATGGCTAAACACTTAGTTAATTTCTATTCTTTAATAGTGTGAAAAATTAAATATTTTAGTGAAAATATAAGCACAATATTGAGATTTTAATGGATAACAAGGTACCAATTTTTGAAACAAAAAAAAATTATGTAGAGATGGCTGTATTATCTCAAGGATGTAATTTATTTCCTGGTTTTAACTTCAGAAATAAAGGGTTATATTTTACACAAGAAAATATAGCAAATTATATCTGCCCTGTAGTAGTTATGGATTAGACATAGAAAAAAAATAAAAATAAAAACCATACCTGGACGGGATGAAGAAACTAGTCCAAGCTGACATGATCTCAGTGGCATGGACTGTGTTTGTGTGAGGACAGGTTTTGAGGATTGCTATTTAAACATAAAAGAGAAAGTAACAAAATTAAAATAAATTTTGACATTATTTATTTATATATATATATATGTTATATATATATATATATATATATATATATATATGGGGAAATCCAATCACTTTTAACAAGGGGTGGTAGGATATTCATTTTCACTGACAACTATTGTATCAAAATATGAGTTACTTTTGAAAAGAGGTTAAGTCAAGGTAGGGTAGGGGTGCCTTTTTCAACAAATGACGACATCCGCTCAACGCATGTCGTCGGGTCTTTATCAACGACAAAAAGTTTTCCGGCCCATTTGTTTCACCGTTAAATTTGTACTTGATTACATAAAGATTTTTTTCAAAAAGGGTTGTTTGTATATAAATACGTCACATTAGACTAAAATTTTAAAATATTATTCTTAATCACTAATAGACCATACTTCTTTTAAAGCAAATAAATGTAATAGAATTACTTAAATTATTTAAAAATTTCATTTATCAGCTGCTTTTTTTAAAACATTTAAGGAAAATTCTATATATTACTAGGTTTATAAAAAATTTAGTTAATTAAAGAAATGAAATAGCTATTCTTTGTCAACATTGTCAAAACTTTTCCTTAAATAATGTTTAAAAAAAAAAAAAAAAAAAAAATATGCCGCTAAATGAAAAAAAATAAAAAAAAACAGCCGCTAAATGAAAAAAAATGAAAAAAAAACTGCCACTAAATGAAAAAAAAAAAAAAAACTGCCACTAAATGAAATATACATATTTTTATCTGATATTTAATAATTTTTAAATAATAAACTTTTTGTCATGGACAAAGACCAGACGACATGCATTGGACAGATGTCATCATTCATTGGAAAAGGCACCACTACCCTACTTTATCTTAACCTTTTTTCAAAAGAAACTCATATTTTGATACAATAGTTGTCAGTGAAAATGAATATCCTACCACCCCTTGTTAAAATGATTGGATTTCCCTGTATCCTTAGAAATTAATATTATGAATGTATGTGCTCATAAAACTCAGTAAATTTCAAAATAAGTTATTCCAAAATTCACTTGAAAATGAAACGGGACTAGGGGCTTTAATTTAATTCTATAACTGAATTTGAAGTTTTTAGTTTGTTTTTGAAACATGGTAATTCCTGTGTAGCGATAGAACCACATTTTTAGATTAGTAAATTTATATATATATATATATATATATATATATATATATATATATAAGTGTGTGTGTGTGTGTGTGTGTGTATTGGGGCAGCAGATCATTATTTAAACATATGTTAAATATAACAATGAATGTCTATTATGTCTGATCATGAGTTGTTTTAATGTTTGTATATTTGCTTTAATTTTTGGTGAAAACAAAGACAAAAAATTGTCCAACATTTGGATATTTTTTTTATTAATTTGGTCCTTGATCTAAGCTTTCAGTTCACATGAGCCATCTTCAGAGTGATTATATAGACATTTTAACAAAGATATTCACCATCGAAGATGATATTTTGTTATGTGGACATAGAAGATTGCTATGCAATAACATTCGTAGAATAGGAGACAGAGTTCATAAGTTCAAGATTCTATGACATCATACCACACAAGATGCCAAAATATTAACATAAGCATATCTAGATGCAATGTAATATGTTGTGACTAGTTTGAAATGTAATTTTGTTAAGTGTGGATTGCTTTGTTTTAATGTAGATAGCCTCCAATATCTGAAGGTTTCTTTTACTGTGTGTATGTGTGAGTATTATTGTGCTATCAACTAATATCTGTCTAACATTATGTACATGGCTATGTTTTTCTAATGTTTAATAGAACTAAGATCAGAAAGATGACAGTTAAGTCTACAGGAGAGAATGGTTGTAGTAAAACCAATTTATGTAGTGGGTTTATTATTAGTATGAGAGATACAATCTCTGAACGAGCATGTAAATTGATACACTACATTGGTTTTTTGTAGAGGATTTATTTGTGTGGTTGTAGGGTTATTAGACACTATGAGGTCAAATGTTTTAAATTTTTTATAATATATGATGAGCTTGTTTATTATTAATGGGTTTAACATTTCTACCTATTATGTTTTTGAGTGTTGTTTCATTATGTTTGTAATTATTATGCATTTGGTTACAATAGTAGAAGTTAATAGTAGGGACCTCCACTTTTTTTGCATAAATTTTCAATACCTAAGGGTTTAAAATTAAATTTTAAAAATGAAAAATCTTTCTTGAAGATTTCATTTTAGCTTTAATTGAAAGTTTAATTAAATTTATTGTTTCCATTAAGTAAAATATTCTGGTGTATTTCAGATAGAAATTATATAGATTGGAATGTCAAATTTAATTTCAATTTCTTAAAATTTTCTTAAAAGCAGCCATTTTCTTAATTTTAAGAAATTTGTAAACAAACCAAATTTTTCTATTTTAAAATTCTTTCAAAAAATAAATATATATTTCTGATACGTTATTTTAGTAAAATTAGAAAATTTCAAGTTAAATTAATCTGATTTGAAATAAATGTTACTTACTTATAGCATAAAAAAATAATAAACAACTAATTATTAATGATTGTTCCTGTTCATCTGATCCTACATTTGATGGACTGCTGATAGGCGAAGCAATGACAGCTACTATGGATGACCCAATTGTCAGAAATCCAAATGAACGCATATTTTTAGTTTTTAACTACCTAGTAATTTTTACAAATGAACATATTTTCTGCAATTATTTAATATTTTACTGACTTATTTACCTTTCCAAGATGCAAAAATAAAAAAAATTTAAAATACTATAACATTTTCTTCAATTACTTTTATAATTTAATAACAAATGAAATACCATGATTATTCAATTGAAGTATGTCCCACACTAATGTAAATACATAAAATAAAAATATTTAGCGAAATAATAATTGAAAAAAGTAAAACTTAGTTTAAGCTTTAAACTTTTAAAGCTGGATAGAAATTTTGAAAACCTGTTGAAACATAACTGAAGTGACATATTAAAGGGATAAAACTTTTATATTATAATAATGGCAATTTCAGTCTATCATACATAAAAAATAATGAACATATTAAGTAAAAAAAAAAATACAAAATAAAAAATTTTAAAAATAGAATAGCACAACTAAGTTGATTAATCTTTTCAATTTTGGATTTGAAAATTTTGTTTCCACTTAATTATATCACATCCGGGAAATAGCCCAATACAGAATTTTACATGATTTTAAACTATTATAAATTATTATAATTAAAATTTTTAAAAAAATGAAATAACTTATAAAAATTCATTATTTATCAGAAAAATTTTATTTCTTCAGACAATAATGTCCTTAATATTACTTATTTACAAAAGCAATTAAAAGCTTTTCTAATTAAATAATGTCATAGTTTTATTGGATTCATTATTTTTCAGTTCAGAGCAGATTTTCAATTAGATAGCTCAAATTTGAAAAACAAGGTGGGTGATTTACAATCTCCAAAAACTCCTACTTCAAAAAAAAAAAAAAAAATTCAGGAAATAGAAAGGTTTTGTGCAAAATTTCATGACATTAAGTGGGGAGGGGGGGGTTAATATATCTATAAAAAAAAAAAAAAAATTCAAAAATAATTCCATTCATTTGTGAATAAGCCCTGTAAATTACATTAAAATCGTACAATTATTTGATTTTTACAAGAATTTCCAAATAAATGTGTTTTCAACAGAAAAAAAAGCACAAAACCATCAATGTTATTTCATAGCCACTGCGATGATGTAAACAAAAGAAGATTTAACCAAAATTTTGGACATGTTAGAAAGGATTAAAAAATTTCAAAGAATAATTTCAAATACTTTGGTCTTTCATCTTAATAATAACAAACATTTTGACAATAAAACTTTATTTCCATCAAGTTTGTGGCCTTTTTCATTATACTATCTGTTTTCCCACAAAAAGCAGGAGGTGCCTAGTTAATAGTGTCATGTTTATTTTGATGTATACAATTATTATTAATATTATCAATTTTGTTAGAGGTATTATTAAGTCTATTGAGAGACATTTTAATTTGTTGATTAGTGATGAAATTAGGAAATCCATTAACAAGTGTTTGTTTAATGTTATGTATTTCTTTATAGAATATGGTTTTGGAAAAAGATATCATTTGTGTGCGTTGGATTAAGTTTTTTATAATGGCTTAATTTATATCATTGGGAGTATTCACTATTATAATTAAGAAGTTTGTGGGTTTCCTATATAGAGAAGTAGTAAATTTAAGTGTACTGGAATCAATAAAAACATCAACGAATGGAATTTTATTATTAATATTAAGTTCTAATATAAATTTGTGGACAGAGTGCTATTCAAATTTGTTTTTAAGTTGTGTAATTTGATCAATATTTTTAGCTGAAAACGAATGCCGTCTATGTATGTTACATAAATAGGGGGTTTATTAGTGTCATTAAGTATTTTATTTTCTAAATGTGCCATATAATAATTAGTAAAAAGGGTTCCTAAAGGAGATCCCATCGCAATACCATCTATTTGTGTATAGATATTACCTAGGGGTTCATGAAAAGGTATTTGAATGGTACATGCTAATAATATTTTTTTTTTTAAATAGTAGGTTTGATATTGATGGTTGGGAAAAAAATGTGATTGTATACATCATGGATAATGATGTCAATTTTTTTATGGACGGGGTCATTAGTAAATAAATTTTGTACGTCCAATGATGCTATTATTTGATTGTTTGATTTTACAGATTGAAGAATTTGTATAAATTCATTTGTAGAATTAATACAATATTTACTTGGGAGGTAGGGAGTAATTAATTTGTTAAGGGTTTATGAAATGATAGGTCAAAGGGGACAATCTTTTATGGATTTTACATTTCTATAAAAGGTAGCCAGTTTGTTAATCACCTATAATCTCAAAGTTTATAGGATCCTGTATCAGCATTGTTAGCAGTAATAAGTTTATTGACATGGTTTTTAAGTTGGGAGGTGGTGTTTTTGGTGAACTTTTTTAAATTTATTATGATCATCTAAAATTACCTGTAATTTTGAGTGATACTCATGTTTACATAAAATAACAAAAGTATTACCTTTATCAGCTCATCCAAATGTTGGACAATTTTTATCTTTATTTTCACCCAAAATTAAAGCAAACATACAAACATTAGAACAATTCATGATCAGACACAATAGACATTCATTGTCTGTTATATTTAACATATATATATATATATATATATATATATATATAAAAATAATAATGAATGTGTGTGTACACATGAAATAATCATGTTTTTCAATGCAAATTGAAAATCAAAATGCATGAATAATCAATACAAAGTTTTAACTAAAAGTATAAAGAATTTGATCATGAAAAGAAAGAATACTTGGCATCATACTTAGTTTTTAATGTCTCTAGTAATGTAATAATGAGAAAAGGGCTAGAAATTAAATGTTATGGTACTGCTCCAAGAGCTAAAGTCTGCACATGCTGTGTAGATTGCTCAATTTTGGGAGTAACATTTTTAACAAGGTTCCAGTGAGATCAAACTGAAAACATTTAAATTGCAAAAGCTCATACTGTAAACATTTGAGCTATGAAATAAGACAGTAATAAGTATAAATTTATAACAGATTACTATTTATATGTAGACTATTGTCTCCATTGTCATAGTTGTTATCACAATGTTTCGATGTGGTGCCCTCCAGCCTTCATCAGGTGTATATTGGTCTGGTTAACCTAGGAAGGCCAGAGGGCACAATGGATGAAACATTTGTGATAACAACAAAGATGAGGACAATAGTCTGAATATAAATAGTACAATTAATGCTAACTCTTCATCCCAGAAATTCAAGCAGCAATTATAAGATTACTTGGTTTGGTTTGTTTTACAGCATATCAAAACATTGGGTCATTTAATAGTGAACAGATTACTTGGAGAAAAACAACATTAAGAGGTTTTTCATTTTTTTTTTTTCATAAACCTTTCAATATGTCTTCAAAGTGTCTTCTGCAAAGGAGTAAAATGAATGATTATCACCACAAGGGTTTATTAAAATGGGCACTAGTACTCATTATGGAGTATCATAGACAATACTGGAATCTGATGGAGGTTTGTGTGTGTGTATATATATATATATATATATATATATATATATATATATATTATTTACATTATTCAAACTATTGTCCTCATCTTTGTTGCCATATTTATCACAATGTATCGGCCGTTGTACACTCCAGCCTTCTTCAGGTGGTTGGAATGTTGAACTGAACCCTTTATTTCGCTCACTGGGGTAGACTGTTCTAGTTCCGCGTGCCATGTTTAATGGATGTCAGTTATCAGTTAATTCCCCTCTAAAAGTTCTCCACTGCCTTAACCAGGTATTGAACTCACACTCTTTGGGTCCTGTCACTGGATCTAACCAATGCCTTTATCCACTGTGCCATGTAAGTATCAGCTCTCAATGTTCAACCTGCTGTAACCAGCCCCATGTATATTCTTGTCATAATATATAACAATATCATCACAAATAAAGCAGCAAGTCACACAAACAGTGATACTTTGAGAGCTGGTATTTAAAGGATGGGTTTGAGTGTGTTGAATGAGAAAAGGTTAAAAACATGATCAATACTAGTTATTGATTGAATAATAAACCTATTTTCAAATACTAACACTTTGATGATTAAAGAACCTATCAAATTGTCAAACTGTAGAATAATACTGGATTAAAGTTGAGATTTAAAGTTTTTATACAAAATTTTGGTTTCATAAAGAAATTTCAATTTGATAACTCTTCCAATGGACAATTGTAAAAAAGTTTACTACTATTGTTTTCAACATCATATTTGTTCAAACAAAATTTCAGCACAATTTTATACTTTTAATTGAAGATAGAAATGGTCTTAAAATTACTAAAAGTCTGATATTTAAAACTTGTAATCACAAAGCTCATCCTTCTTATTAATAAAAACAATCAAAAATAATTTTAAAAAATAAAATAAATGAAGAGTAAAAAAACACAAACTAGTCACCCCCTTTTTTCCAATTTTCCATCTAGGGTAATTATAACCTTTTTTTTTTCTCTCCTTGCTCTTCAATTAAAAAAATTATTTTCCAGTAACTATAATAAAATCTTATTCTCCCAAGAAAACATCTTTTATTATACAGGGTGCTCCAAAAGTTGCACTACCATTAATAACCTTGTAAATTTTATATTTATTTACCAAATAGAATCATGTTTCTGTATGTGACAATATATTATTTATTGGTCAAATTATGGAATATGATGTCATGCAAATTTGCCCTAATTGTTATTTCACAAGTATGTTTTCTGCCAATTGTCACTTGACTTTTGGAACACCCTGTACTTATATAATATTATGCAATAAACTGTTAATTAATTCATTATTAATTTCCACAAGTTGCCTTGTGTGTCAGTTTTTTTGTTGTTTTTTTTTTTTTTTTAATCATAGAAATTGGCATTGAAAATTATCAAGTATGACTAAAGACAGGAGTTGACACAACCACCCCCGCCCTGCACCTGCCCCACATCAAGCCTGCCAACTTAACAATAAGAAATTTACATTTTACATTGACTGTACTAGTTGTTATCTTGTTATTCCTGCAGTAAAATAAAGAATCTTGTTTAAATAATATAACATTAACTTTGTTGGTTTTTTTTTTTCCTTTAAGCCTCCAGACCAAGGCAGCCTTCTGGACAATGCGGTCTGAGGTCAAGACAATTTATTATAGTACATTTGATATCATGCCCCCCCACCCCTCAGAGACACTGCATAGCTTTCTGGCCCACTCACTCCAAAAGGTTGCTAACCCCTGATTTGGGGGTAACAAGCAATATAAATTTGAGCAAACCTGTTCCACACACTGGAAGCAAATGATTGTGAAAAAAAAAAAAAAAAAAACTTTATACAAATATTTTCCAACATACTCAAAGAACTGAAACCAATGCTTCTAAGTTAACTATATAAACCGAAATTGCAGGTCAATTGGCAGCTAATATCTGTATCAAGCTATAAATTTATTGATTCACCATCATATTTAAATCGATCTTGACATCAGTCACTTTCCTACTACTGTAAAATAGCTTCCCTGTTCCTATAAATATTTTCATGGCAATTGTTCTGATGAGTTTTTCTCTTTGATATCTTGACTTTACAAATTTAAGTGCAGCACTATATTAGCAACTAGGTTGAAATGGCTATATTAGCAACTAGAAATAGCCATATTTATTTGAAATGGCTATATTAACAACTAGGTCTCATCCTTTTACAGTTGAAATGGCTAGTTCTATGGTAATTTTCTTCTCTTACATTTTTCTCTTGTGAAACTTCAACATTCAACTTTGATCTTCAAAGATTTAAATGTAATATCAATTATTATCTTCTATACTCTTGAATCCAGTTCTTTTATTGTCCTCTCTCATTAATGATTTTTCTATTTCTCATTCTTACACATTTAGTAACCCCTTTTGTCTTAGGGGCTTTATTGCCTTCCTTCAGGTGAAATGATGGAAAAAATATTTTGAGTATGTACCTATTACAACTACAGAGTGCCTAGTAATCACTGTTATAGCTTTCAAGAATATTTGACTTTGAATAACCTTGAATAAATTTCTTGAATATTCATGACCTTGAATAATTATTCAATTGTTTCTCTTATGATTGATTCATTGCTGCTCGATCTTGTGATACATCATTTAAAGGTTATTTGCAGACTTTCGTTCTGCCCCTCTCATATGGTTAAACTCACCGATTTTGAGCGTCAAGTTATACTTTTCAAAGATTTCATGGTAACTGCTCTGATGAGCTGCTTTCGCTGGTTCCCAGACTTCATGAATTTAAGCGTTCAACAAGACTGGCATCTTGCTCTCACCCTTCACTGCTGAAACTATTAAATGTAGCTGTCTCTTCCACTCCAATAGCTTCATGTCTCACACCTCTCGCCTGTGGAACTCCCTCCCCATTTCTTGTTTTCCTGATAGCTATAATCTCCAACTATTCAAATGTAATGTCAATTGACGTCTCCAGATGCCCTATCCTTCTCGTCATCCTTTCCGCTATCACTCCTCTTTGCTCTCACTCCAACTCTCTGGAACCCCTAACGTGCTAGTGGCTTCCCGCCTTGCTTGGGATGAAACACTTTAAAAAAACAAAAAAAAAAAAAAATCCAACATGGTGATTGATATTCTTCAGTCACATAAGTTATTGCAAGCTTTCAAGGGTTGTCTTATATAATTCTGCTTTATTACTGGGTATTTCACATGTTTGCACTAGTCTCAACTACTAATAACTTTCAATACCACATACTCATACCTAATCAGCATTAAAATAAATCAAGTTATTAATAGGATATATCTTTGATTAGGATATACTTTAACATAAATTTATATTTAAAAAAAAAAAAAAAATAACAATAAAATCAAGAAAAGTGAATCAATCTTTTAAAAAACAAATGAAAATATCAAGAAATATTCATACACACCTCTAAAAGACAAGACTGGGATATCATGTTTGTACCAAAAGAGTTTTTGCGATTTAATGGAATGTGTCCGCCACAAGAGGACCCTCCCACAACTGAAGAACGCTTTGAGCCAAAACACCACTGGGACAAACCTGCAGCTGTTTTGGGGGGTTTTCGAATAACTCTTGGAGCTCCTGATCGTACACTAAAATTAGTGGCCGTCTGGGGAAATGTGTTGACCCAACTGAAATTAAAAATATATAAATATGAAGGAAAAAAATCAATAGATATGATAATTAGATAAAATTATTAAAAAATTATTTGTCTTTGTTAGTAAATAATACTTACTTATTCTTTGGTTTTGTGTCAAGGTTATATTTATGCTGTGTAGGATGACATGTTTTTTGGACTTGTTGTTTCCAGAAACTCAACAATTTTTGCTGTTTTGGAGTAAAAGCCTGCAATAATAATTTAAATAAATTGATTACATAACAAAAAACATTCTCTGAAACTGAATAATTCAAATTATTTAAATAAATTAAACAGCTTATTAAAAAAAAAAGACTTTACATTTTACAGATTAAATGACATTGAAAAATAGTAATTTAAGGTTTTTTCCTCTAAATCATTTTACTAATAAATTTTATAAAAACCTTGATAAGATATCTTTAATCAATTCTAAGATACAACAGCTCAAAGCTTTATCTAACAATTGGACAACTGTGCTCTTAAATGATTTGGATAACTTTGCTATTACACCCAGTGTACATATTCGCTCCTGAAATATCAATTTCAGTTGAGCTCTCTGGGGACGAGGTGTGGGTTGGTAAACAGTGACTATTACAGCTATATAGTGAGACTCTTCGCAGATGCGAATTGAGTCACTGTCGGTCACTGGGCATGTTTCTAAAAATAAATACACTAAAAAATCCACTTTCATCCCTACAGTGCGCCGACGGCTTAATGGTTAGAATCTCCAAATGACACCAATTCAGTCGGGTTTCGATCCTAGCTAGAGGCAACCAGATGTCTAGCCACACTGATGAGCTGTGAAACAGCGAAACAGTCTGTCTGTGGATGACGTTATATATATATATATATATATATATATTTTTTTATTATAATAAATTACAATAAAAACATTTTACATCACTATACAAAAGCTGTTATGTTTCAGAACTATAATGGTCCCTATTTGGGTGATGGAAGATAACATATGATAAAAATGATTTATCTGGGAAACTTGAAAACAAATCATTACTTCATTTGAAAGTTAAAAAATGGTGAGACCGAAAGTCAGAATAAAAAATATACTTGTAAGCATGTCTGGATTAATCAATTAAAAGTCAAATCTAAGCTAAAATAGAAAAATGACTGGTTATTAATTCATGTCATGATAAATTGACACTCTAGACATGTCAGTGGCAAACACATTATAGCCAGATTTGTTGAAGATATAAAATTACCTTCAAGAAAAAAATTTTTTAAGAATTTTCAAAATTTTTATATTCAGGAAACTTCTTAAAGGAGCCAATGGGTAAAATTTAAAAATTTTGGAACATTTATATATGATGCTAATTATATGGAAGGGATGGTAAAACCTGGCAATATTAAAGTTGAAAAATCAAATAAATATTGTGTGAACAATTATATACTAATAAAATAATGGCGCTGTAATTGTAACGTGTAAATTATGAAAAGTTCTTTCAACTATATTTTAAGGTAAAATTTATACAATGCTGGCATAACACCATTAGCTCATTTCTTTGGTTGAGCAGAAATTTATTTTTAGGAAACTTTATAATATGCAGCTTTTCTTATAAACACAGGGTACATGGGTCATAAAGATTTACAGATTCTCATTTTTTTTTTTTTTTTATTATTATTATTTAGGATTTTACCATAGGAGTTTTATTAATTTCCTTTAAATGCCAAAAATATTTAGAAAGAGATTGATGTAATCTGTGTTTGCTGGAAAAAAGATTCATTCTCAAAAATATTAATGACTGAAATCTACTTAATAAATGAAATGAACTAGCTTGTAATCACAGAAAAAAATTTCTCTTAAAATATTTTAATTCTGGATAAATATATTATCCAAATATCACATGCCCTTTCCATATATTAGGTTACATATTGATTATCCCCCTTTAACCATTTTAAGGTCTATTATTACTTACCTGGCATTCCTCTTTTAAACTTGCCTTTCTTCTTTTTTTTTTTTTTCTAAACAATAGCCCCCTACATACACTATACTTATATTTATACCCCAACATTAAATTTATATTAAATTTGAGCTTGAATCTGTGTTTAATTTAACATCCCTCCCATGAAAACCCATAATTTTTTTTTTAAAATCATAATTAATAAATCATGCCTGATGAGTTGGTAAAACAATAAAACTAAGTTGCACTGTGAACATAGGTGTGTGTATGTATGCATGTGTGTATATGTGTGTGTGTGTATATATATATATATATATATATATATATATGTGTGTGTGTGTGAAAATATATAGAAAATAGGAAGGAACTGGTTAGGTAAAAAAAGATTTCGCTTGAAGATGGAACAGAGCTCACTTTAACTCAATTTAATTCAAATAATTATTTTGAAGTTTTCGGCTCTTGTTTTGAAACATGTGACCTCTTATGCCGCGAGTTGGAATCATATTTTTAAATAAATATATATATATATATATATATATATAAAGGATGATCCAAAATGATTGTGGAAAAAGTCCATAACTAAAAGTCATATGGAAGTACTTGGATTTCAATGCACCTGAACATTCTTGTACCAACGTGTTATAACATGTTTAAACATGAATCCTTTATTGCAGGTAATAACACATTGCCACCAGTTGGACGTCAAACACCATTGAAGCATCATGGAATCCAACAAAATCGAGGTTAGGACAAACATTAAATTCAGTTGGGAGAATAGGCAAATTATTGAAGCTCTGGAACAAGTTTATGGTGACAATGCCCCAAAGAAATCAACAACATACAAATGGATAAGTTGGTTCAGAAGTGGAAGAAACAAAATTAAAGACGAGCCTCACAGTGGCAGGCCATCAATGTTAGTTTGTGAGGAAAACATTGATTCTGTTTGTGACATGATTGAAAAGGAGAGATGAATAAGCACTCAATATCTTTGTCGGTTCTGGTGGAAAGTTTGGGAATAAGCAAGCTTTCTGCTCAATGGGTCCATAAGCTGTCATGTCCAGATCAGCAGCAAACAAGGGCAGATCTTTCAATGGAAATTTTGAACAAATGGGATCAGGACTATGAAGCTTTTCTACAGAGAATTGTGATGGGATGAAACATGTTTCTACCAGTACAATCCCAAAGACAAAATTCAATCAAAGCAGTGGCTGCCCAGGGTTGGAAGTAGACCTCTCAAAGCAAAATCTGAGCATTCAAAAGAAAAGGTCATGGCCACTGTTTTCTGGGATGCAGAGGGATTTTGCTGGTCGACTTTCTATAGAGCAAGAAAACATTTACATCTGCTTATTATGAAGGTATTTTGAGAAAACTGTTAAAAAAATCTAAAAAAAAAAAAAAAAAAAAACGCCCTGGAAAGCTGCATCAACACATCCTCTTCCACCACGACAATGCACCCATTGCCAGTGCTCAGCAGACAAGAGCTGTGCTACGTGAATTTTGATGGGAAATCATCCAACATCCACCTTACAGCTCCGATTTAGCCCTATCCAACTTCTTGGTTCCAAACTTAAAAAAAAAAAAAAAAAAATAATTGAAAGGTACCAATTTTCCATCAGCTGAAGATGTAAAGAGCTGATCTGATATGGTTCAGATCACATGACCCTCAGTTTTACTTAAACAGACTTAAAGGCTGGCATCAACATTTGCAGAAGTGTATTGACCTTAATGGAGCACATGTTGAAAAATAATCATAAATGAAACTGTTTTTTCATACAAACCTTTTGAAGCCCCCCTAATATATATATATATATATATATATATATATATATATATATATATATATATATATATATATATATATACATATGCAGTGGTTGAAAAATAAGCCCCTACTTTATATATGATAGACTCTCCTGTCTTGTAAAAATTATAATTAGACAGGAGAGTCCATCATACATAAATATGGAGTTACTTTTCAATCAGCCTGTATTATTTAGGTTTCATTGAATAATATAGATATATTGGGTCTACTTATTTTATACTGATACTGTCTGATTTCATATTGAAATCAAGAAGCTGATTAGCTTCTTGATTTCAATATGAAATTCATCAAGGAAGGAACCATAATTTCTCTTAACCCAATTATTTTTCCTCTTTTCCCAGATTATCTTCAGGGGTAAATTACAAAAACCTGCTTTAGTATTTGAGAAATTTTATTGAAGTAACAATTTTTGGATTGTTAAAGAAACAAAACACTAACAAATCTGCATATAAGAAATATCAATGATACATACTTATATTTTGTATTTGAAAATTGTGAATTATATGCAAATCTAAATTTCCACATCCCAATACATAAATGATGACAATACATCAAGCTGATTGAAGAGAGGAAGGATTTACTCTTGTTCAACATTCTTAGAGCCACCAGTAATCTCTAGAACAAAACTTGTGAGAGGCTACAGAGAGTCTACATGTTTCTTTTATAAAAAGGACAATTCAAACATTTATATACTTACCTCATGATTTATACATTTTTCAATAAGTTGTAGATATATGCTATGACATTCTTCATCTGTCCTGTTGCATACCAACAGCTGTGTGCACACTGAAACATGCAAGAGCTTAAGTATAATGAAAAGATTATGTGATGTGAGACATAGTCAAATTACATTTTGAATAAAATATTTATATAGGAAATATTGGATTGAAAAGATTATGTGATGTGAGACATAGTCAAATTACATTTTGAATAAAATATTTATATAGGAAATATTGGATTACACTTCAGTTACCTATCAAGATGCCAGCACCAATGGATAAGCTCCCCCCACCCACACACTGAAATTTATGAAATGGTTTGGAGTTATTGTTTTACAGCATATCAACCTCAATGGGTTATTTAATACCGACAAGATTTTTAGAATAGATTTGTATGAATAGAATATGTATTATTTGTAAGAAATCAGTTTGTAGATCAGGTTTCATTGACATATTTTTGTAAAGAGGGTTTTTAGAGTCTGGTTTTGTTGATGTATTCTTTTCAGATATACAGTTTGTAGGGAAATTTATTTTATTGACATTCTTATTTGGTTTATATTTTTTGGTACAGGCACAATGCTTTAAGAAATAATAATATGCCATCCATTTTTGCTTTTTCAAAGAGCTCATACATGTTTATATTATGGTATTTTTATCTTGAGAGAACAAGGTCTAAACACTCAGTTAATATATGTTTAATAGTGCATGTCAATTCATATGATTGGCATTCTGGATCATCTCCCTTGTTTAATAAGTACAAGTCTGTTATTCTCAGGTAGTCAAAGCATAAGCAGCCCAGTACTAATATTTCCTTACAAGATTTTCTGAAAGCCAACTTCTATTCTAGTTTGGGCTGAACTGTGAATAGTTTATTGTGTAGTTATCCACCCAGCACCATTGCCATTTCTTTTGAAATTGATGAAAGCATATATGAAATGTTAAAGACTCATTATAAATTACTAATATTTTAAAATTCTCCTGCCTTTAGAGACATCACAAATCTGAATTTCCTTAAAAATGTCTTCCTGCCTCATAATACATTTCTAATAAACATACGCAGGCTAAGGAAAATTTGCTGCTAAATACAATGTTATCTATTTTACAAGAGTTACTATTATTCCATGTGTTTTTTCAATACAATAGCATTCAATAATTCATTGTATTGTTATGTTGTTATCGATAATTTATTTTTCTACCTAAGTCAGCAATTGGACAGAAAGATGATAGCTAATATATTGATTAACTCATCACACAGGTGATTTTTACCTGAGACATGAAGAGATCTCAAATTCCTTACCTGTTGTGCAAAGAAATACATAATAGCCTGATTTGCATATCTCTTTCAAAGGAATTAAGTTAGAGTATTAATTACCAATACCTGTCTACCATCAAGTTTTGCAAAAAAACTTCTTTATCTCTATAAATAAGCAATCAGCTAAGTGAAAAATTTTATATTTGTATTAATCATTATATATATATATATATATATATATATATATATATATAAAAAGTGATTTTTAAGTTTATACATTCTTTTTATAGATACAAATATTTTAAACGCTCTGTTTATAATATACAGTATTAATAACATTTACTGGCCTGAATTCAGACTGGTAAATGTTATTAATACTGTTTATATAGAGGGATACACACAGGCAGACAGCGACCGGTAGCGGGATGCAGACAGACAGCCACAGATAGGGAGATACAGACAGACAGCCACAGATAGGGAGATACAGACAGACAGCCACAGATAGGGAGATACAGACAGACAGCAACAGATAGGGAGATACAGACAGACAGCAACAGATAGGGAGATACAGACAGACAGCAACAGATAGGGAGATACAGACAGACAGCAACAGATAGGGAGATACAGACAGACAGCAACAGATAGGGAGATACAGACAGACAGCAACAGATAGGGGAGATACAGACAGACAGCAACAGATAGGGAGATACAGACAGACAGCAACAGATAGGGAGATACAGACAGACAGCAACAGATAGGGAGATACAGACAGACAGCAACAGATAGGGAGATACAGACAGACAGCAACAGATAGGGAGATACAGACAGACAGCAACAGATAGGGAGATACAGACAGACAGCAACAGATAGGGAGATACAGACAGACAGAGCTAGAAAGACTGACCTTTTCCCATTACCCTTGTGAATTGACCAGGGAGATCCCCTTCTGGTATGGTGGTACCCTCTACATCAGTTACTGATGTTGGAGGTGGAGGAAGCAAATCTGCCTTCCGTATAGGTAACTTGTCTTTAGTCACATCAGATGGTGAGCATGCCTTCATTGGAGTGTTTAAAATATTTTTTAATTCTGTTAATGATGCCTTGATTGGGTTGCCACTCATAATATCCTGAATAAATTAAAAAGAACATTTTCTTTATTAATGAGAAACACTAAATTCTAACTAAAGTAAAAATGAATATCATAGACAAATGAACAAAATTAACAAATCATAAGTGGTTTTATTGATGTTAAATTTTATCAATCCATCAACAAATAATCTACAAATTTTATTTAATGCAGCTTATTTAGAAACATATTCTATAAGTCATGAAGATAGCTATTAATAAATTGTCAAACATGTATTATTAAAATAAATATTTTGTGTCTATTATATTTAATGATCTTTTTTTCTAATGTGTGAATATCCTTACATAAATGTGTGGATAAACTGGCCAAAATTCATGTGTTGCCCAAAGCTTGAATTTTGGCCAATTTATACACATACAACCACATATGCGAAAGAATATTCATAAATTAGAAAAATAAAAAGATCAGTGAATGATACAAAATGTTTGTTTTAAAAATACCTGCTTAATTGTTGCCTCAATATATCAAATTTAAATACATTTTTTGTAAATTGCAGCTCAAAGTTCTTGTAACAATGATGTAATAAATTAAATGAATGATTAAATAATGAAGATCATATATAATATACTTGTGTACCAGTGGCATAAAAAAAGATGGTAATTGTTATGAAGTTTTGATTGAGATGCAATGATATAAAAGTCTTGAATTAATATATTGAGATTCAATAAAGCAGAGATAAAGAATTAAAACAATTAAAATAGAGACCAATTAACCATTTAATTAATCCATTCCCTATATATATATGTCCAACAGTATCTAGGATTCATTGATTACACCTGATAACATAAAAATCTCTTTTAGGACAATATTTTGTGTTTAACATGACAATGAAATTGAAAATATCTCCAGGAAGAAAAAAATAAGTTAAAGACCAAGTTAAAGCAAAACAATTATTTAATAGACAAATGTATCTGAGTGCTTCACATGAATAGCTTGAACAAACATGACTGCAAGGTCTAAAGGAACTGATTAATTAAACAGTTCATTTTGCTCAGGAACTAATTTTGTGTAAATACAAATAAATGTTTTACTTGTATAGATTATTAAAACGACTAAGGGAAGTAATCATTCATAAGTTTACAAACTTAAGCTGATTTACCTCCCTTACCACTACAGAATGCCATATATAAATAAATATGCCAGAAATTTATGGTTTGGTGATTATATAAAGAAGCAATTTCTTTTATGCAAAGTAAATTAAACAAATAGCAAAGATTTTAAAAAATTTTAATGTTTCATTTTGTAAAAAAATAGTTTGACATCAAATATTAAGACACTTTTTCAATTAGTTCTTTACTGAAACAACACAAAATGTAATTATAGAAAAGAACTATTTCTAAAGTAAAATGACAAAAGGAGCTTTTTTACTGTTACTCAAAATAATGAATAGAAATAGAAAATTATAAGAAATTTTTCATGTTGCTATCATGATTAATAGCTGATGTGGAAGCAGCATAACAGTGTAATGCAAAGATAGCATAACAGCCACCTGCATAGAAAGTGAAATTAAAAGCAGAGTTCAAATTTCATTTGAGTCTTTTGCTTTCAATTTGCACTAATACCTTGGAGGAAAAGAAGTCTTTCTCCAAGGCCTTCCCTTTCTTTTGCTTCTCTTAGGAGCTGCATTACCATGCCAATATGCTTCAGAAAATCTAGGATGCCAGCAATCCCTCCCTTCTGTATTGAAGTATCTATGCAATTGTTGGTTCCAAGATAATACCAAAGTTATTGGGACAGGATGCTGAAGAAAAAGATTTTGTTCTTGGTGCCCAGCAAAGAAATCATTCTAAACTGTTCAATTCCTTTTGAGTTTTCTTCTTTAGGAATCCATACTGCATTAGTGAACTTCCACTGTTTTGTAGCTCTGCACCTTCTACAAATTGCTTTTAATATCTTCCAGTGATGTACCTGAATATTTAGACATCTCTTATAGACACTATAGGGAACACCACTGGGGCCTGGGACCAAAGTTGATCTAGCTGCCAATGACTTCCTTTAATTCTTTCAAGGTTGGTGCTCTCAAGTTAAAACCTGTTTCTGGCAGATCAGGGTGCACTATTACATTGTTTTTTCCTAAATTATTTTCTCTTTCTTGGTCACTGAGTGTCTCTTGTAGGTAAGAATTTATTAAGGTTAAAATAAGCACCAATATTAAACAAGTTGATTTTCACAATGTAACATTAAATCTAGTCTATGACAATTTTCAGCCTTATATGAAAAAATTATACCAACCCAATCTATATTCACCCCAATTCCAATCACCCCACCATCTGTAATCCAACATATTCCTTCCTCTGTAGAATGTAAGATTAGCAACCACTAATCAAAGAAAGATGTGTTTGAGAAACATAGCAGTATGTACAATAAGGTTCTTAAGAATAGTGGGTATAAATGTGCTGAAATTCAGTTTAAAGATTTTGATGATAGTAATTCAAAGAACAGAAAGAGAGAGATCATCTGGTACACACTTCCATTTAATCAATTAGTAAGTACTAAGTTAGGCCACAAGTTTCTCAAATTAATAAACATTTTCTGAAAAGCAACCCTCTTAGTAAAATATTTAATAGGAATACATTAAAACATAGTGATAGTTGCACCAATAATCTTGTGAAAATTATAAAGCTGCACAACAATAGAATTCTAAACCAATTCAATCATAATCATAATGCAAGCACTAATGAAAATATTAGTAAGGACAGTGACCAATGTAATTGTAGGATTCCTCATCCAACTCTTTCCGAATCCTTTGCACTGTCCTGGGATTGACACCCAAACACTCTGGAATGTTCATATTGGAAGTTCATTACCAAATTTCTGGCAGAGTAAATTGCATCATGTTGCTCTTTTTCTCACTTACGCTGTTATACTGTGCAATTGACAAAATCAAAAACAAACCATGCACATATGCAAAATAAAAAATATAAAATGGTAACAATTTACCCATATCCTGTGTATGTGCGTGTGTGTGTGAAATTTCTGTCTTAATTTCTAGGATGAGAAGTTATCATTTATACTATTAACCTGTGGACTATTGTTCTCATGTTCATTGTCATCACAATATTTTATCCGGCCTTTGTACCCTCTGGCCTTCATCAGGTATATATCAATCCAGGTAACCTAGAAGGAATTCCAAACTAAAACTATTTAATCTACAGGAGTAGACTGTTCTTGTTCCACTGCCTATGTCTGAGATGTCTTATTTTTAGTACTGCTCAATTACTACCCACCCTGTTTCCACTGAGTCCAAGTACACACTGCTGGCCTAGGGATTGAACTCCCAATTACTATGTAACCAAATTCCTAAACCAATGTTTTAATCTTCTAGGCTACTGTTCCATAGGACAATTCTCTGTGAAGAACTTGGAAATGTAATGATGTAGATAATATTGTGTGTGTGTGTGTGTGTGTATATATATATATATATATATATATATATATATAATCTCCATTCTTATTTCTTGGGAAGGTTGATTGTCTGATTTGCATACACTTTACAAATTAACATAACCATCTGTATCAGTTTATAATCTAATGTCTACAATCTGCTACAGACAACTTCCTGTCTTGACACTAAATAATAAAAAAAAGAAAAAGTATTTTGCTGTTGAAATTGAATTAATTGTTCACTCACCAGTAATTTACAATTACCTGAGGAGATGCATTGATATGTGCTGAAACACAACTGCTATTGTGTAGTAATTTTTGACATGTTTTTGATTTAATATCCTAAAATAAATAATATATATATTTATATATATAATACATACACACAAACAAGATAAATTGCGCTTACTTTTTCCAATGATCGCAAAAGATCCTGCCGTTCTTTCAACTTTTTAATACTTAATACAATTTTGTGTCTGGCACCTTTAGTTACATTCTGAAAGAGAAAAAAAATGAAAAATAATTAACAAAATAATATACTAAGTAAAAAAAAAAAAAAAAGTAAAAAAAGTAAGATTAGTTTATATTGAGGAATTTAAACAAGCCATACAAAAACTGCCTAAATTTAGTGTGATGAGAACCCCAAGGCTCACATCCAACAAATAATTTTATTAAAGACTCCAGTTTTAAATAGACCTGATTTATAAAAAAAAAAAAAAAAAAAAAATGAATTGCATTCAAAAAAGTTCTTTTTATCATCACTTGGTACAATATGCATCAAGAATCATCATAAATAAAACCAATTTTACACAACTTTCAAATAATATGCAAATGATTTCATTATGATTTACTTAAAAACATCTAAATTACACAAATGAAAAAAATAATACATACATAATAAAATTAATATTTTAAATAAAAGTGAACAAGTCTATAAAACAGAGAGAGAAAATAATACAATTTCACATTAGTTATTTAATATTTCATGAGTTATGGCAACATCTATCTGCAAAATTAGGATACAAAGTCAGTTCATTCTATATAGCTATTTGAATTAAGTGTCCTGAATTTTGAAGTCTCAAATTAATAGCCACTTTGTGAGTTTGAAGGTTCAGAATGGATTGTAAAGCTGATTTCACATAAAATTTTAATCAATTCCAAGATTAAAAACTAAAACATGATTGTAGATTGCAAAAATGTTTGGCAGGTTCCACTAAACTTCAAATTAATTGAAGATTCTGAACAACTGTAATGTAAGTATGGATATTTACTTCATGCCCCACTGAGTCAGGATGTGACACAAGGTTGGTTTTAATTTGCGGAATCCGAGTGTTTCTACTCGGGCCACTGGTCTAACCTGGTCTTAGCTGGTCATAGCTTTTCCAAGCTGGTCATAGCTGGTCTTGGCTTGTCATAGCTGGTCCAGGCCCGAGCCAGTCCAACCTAGACATAGCCATGGTACCACCAGCACAGGGCAAGAGCACAAGTTCCAGAAGTATAATAACGGCAAATTCAGGATTATCTCACTGATCTGAATCATATGTCAAGAGAAAAGTTATAAAAAGTTCATGTTTGTCAGGCCATGAAATTTTTAGGCATCATAGCAGCAATGAAGTATCAAATAGCACAAGAGTCCTAAACCATGTGACAAAACTTGTATGACCAATCACTAGACGACCTTTAAAAGACATCCATAAGAAAAATCAAATGTAATGGGAATAAGAATACATAAAGACTGATTTTTCAACCATTTTTTTCATTGTTAAATAAGACAAAGAGTGGGTGGTTACTAGGGTTACTAGTACACACTACTCTCCCAGGTTAAGCATTCAACAATGTGAATGTGATGTGAGTTTTTTTAGAAAGGGGTTATAGGTGGTAAAGTGATGGATCCATGACAATTTCAAATCATTTTTTTTAAAAAATGACAGCAGAGATATATATTGACTTTTTGAACACATGCAGCTATGATTCAAGTCAAAGACAAACACTTTCAGAAAGGGGGGGGTTATACACAAAGTATTACATAAAAAATAATAATAATTAAAATCTGAATAAAATAGATTTTAAAGATAATTGTTTACTAAAATAGCCAGCTTGCTTGTTCAAATTTAACCTGACTGAAAAATTGTGGAGCATTTGGAAGAGCAAGGTTTACATTAGTGAACAGCAATTTACTGACAAAAATGAACTTTGGAATGTTATTCTGGATGCTGTGCAGCACATTTTCTATAACAAGATACAACAGCATACAAAATCATTGAAATCAATGGCTTCTAAATCTACTTTCAGAATATGAAGCATATATTTCACATTTATGTTTTATTTATAGTTGTCTGCACTACAATGACAGTTTTCAATTTTTTTGTTCAAAACATTGTCATTGTAAACTTTGAACATGTTCGGTAATTTTAAATTACAACAATGTTTCTCAGCTAATCATGTTAAATTTACAAGATGTGCTAAAATCCATAAAACTGTTGCCATATAAAAAGAGCAACATATAGTCTGCTATAATTTATATATATGTGAAATGATCTGCATTAGTGCAAATATTTCCCCAAATCCCTTTATTAGTTTTCTAAAAGTAAGGAAAAATTAAAAGTGACTAATAATGAAATGTAATGTCATAATACATAAAATGACATTTTAGAATATTGCTTAATTTTTAATAGCAGAATTTGTTTCTCATCCCAAATACAGTTTCATAAAGATAGGGTTTCATTAATATAGTCATATTTTTGATTCAATGAAATTATTTCAAATTACCTGCGCTTCCAACCAAGTTTCTGATAATTCCATCATTTCTTTGTAAGTTAGCTGCTGGAATAAGTAAGAATACTTATGAAGCCGTAGACTTTTCAACCAAGTAGGCACATCTGTGAAAAAGACAGAAAGAGTATGAAACAGTATAGAATGAGTAGCCAAATTGCAAAGGCCTCTTGACTAATATATATATATATATATATATATATATATATATATGTGTGTGTGTGTGTGTGTGTGTGTGGGCACACTGTATATACTCACATATCATGCAACTTTTAAGGTCACATCATACATGAGATATAAAATTGGCATATTTAAATTAAACATGATTTTGATAAAACTGATGTTTTACTTAACTGTATCCAATAATAATGCATGTAATATTCCAATATTAGAATTGTATTATAAAATAAAACATAGCATATATTGCATCATACCATTGTTTATGTTTATAAGATGTTTAGCTGTTTCTTGTTCAGTTATTTATACCTGTATGCATTTATAAAATAAGTTGTTCAGCTGTTTATAGCTGAAGGCATTTATAAAATAAATTGCCAAAACTGTTCCTCCCAATATATTAGAGAAAAAAGCAGAAATTTAAAAAACATCTATAAGCACAAAAGAAACCTCACAAAAAACAAATTAGCTAATGCACTAGTCATACATAGAAATAAATTCAACCACAATTTTGATTTTAAAAATGCTGCACTCACAAAAAAAGAAAATAACTCACTCGGAAGGAAAATCCTCGAGAGTGCTGCCATTGAATATTATCCAAATATTAATCTATGCCCAGGCTTATTCCCTATATCACCTTTCCTAACAGAATTACTACTTTCCAAAGCAAACATACACAATTGCATCTAGAAATCAAAAGAAAATGGTTGAATCTGTCAACAAAAAAAAAAAAAACAATATTTCTACACATGACAGTACTTGACATAATTTTCAGTTGACAATATGAATACAATAGCATTTTTTTTTTAATTCTTCCAGTTGCTAAGGACATTTTGTTTTGTTGTTAACAGTTACTTTGTTTTAATAAATTAATTTCATTTTTGCCTTGAAAAAGTCCACATTGGACAAAACACGTTGGCTAATAATACAGTTTTCCTATTGCTTTTTACCTTCATAAATATTGACTTTTTCTACAGATTAACTGATAAACTTTTCGCGTATATTAAATACATTGAGCTCTTTTTGTGGATGAATTTTAATATTTTATATTATTAGGATCTAGTTGGATTATATACCAATGGATTTATTACCTGTACTATATACATATATATTTTTCCCTCCATCCATTTAAATTGTTATCTACCTAGATTATAAAATATATAAGCTGCAATTTTTCTTAAATCAAATTAATCAAGATTTTGTTAATCAGCAATAAATTTAACTGAAAATCATTAATATTTAAAAAAAAAAAAAAAAAAAAAAAAATGTAAATTATAAGTAATTGAGAACCTTTCACTAAATTATTTATAAAAGTCCATGATTTGAACAGTAGTATTTTAGTACACCTGAATTACTCCAAAGTCTGTATAGACAATTGATTTTATGAATTTAATACCAATATTTAATCAAATAAAAATAAAAAAAATAAATAAGAAAAAAAATCACTATTATTAGTTAACCTCTATATTACACATGAGCGAAGTATAATTAAACAAATTCAAAGTTTCATCTTAAACATTAATCTTATGTCATTTATGGAATTACTTTAAAAAAATTGACATTATTATGAAAACTTTTTTTCAAACATAAAAAAGCAAAGAAAAATGATTGCTACATGAATAATCTATTATGAAATCCATCAAAAACCTGACATCCAGAAAACTGAGTCAAGTGAATTCTTTTATTATATATTAAAATAGATTATATAATGTGTTTAAGTATATTTTAAAATTAATGCCACAAACCTTAAATCCCAAAATATCATTGAAATTTTCTAGAAACAATATCAGTTGTTTGTTTTCACATTATAATCATAAGGAAGTTAATAAAATTAAGAACCTATGAAATAATCTATGCAAAAATAACTTCACTAAGATTATAAATATACAAAGCAATTTCTAAAAACTTAAGAGACTAGTTTTTAATCCAACATTTTTATTACTTCAAACATTATTTTAATGGATAACCATGCTTCAAATAGACATCTCATTTTCTATTTTAAACATCTGTCAGTCTGCACACTCTAGAAATCTCAAAAGAGAAAATGCGTTCTTTAGCAGGGCTTAAACCTGTATTTTTTCCCCCCTTTATAGGGGAAACCACTGTCTGATCTGGGGTGCTTTAGATCACTTGGCCACAGAGTATCACATCCCAACAATGTTCTATTTACCCATTTAAAGAATGCACAATCTATCATTCTGATTTTCTTGAAAGCCCATATTAACATAATGCACACTGTTTAAAATAAAAACATTGTGCATTTATGTCAAACACTAAAAATAATGTTTGAAGTAATATACAAAGTATATGCAAAAGTATGTAAATAAAAAAATTCTAAGAATGATATCAAACCAGTTCTATTTACCTTTCATTCCACTTCCTTCTTCAGTGAAACTGTTTCGAACAGGTTGCCCGCCTTCGTCTTGATGAGAATCACTGCCACTGCCAGAGGAGGTTACACTACTCTGGGGAGAGAGTGGGGCATGGTCTGAAGCACTTGACATTGGACGCACTCGACAAGAGTCCTCAGATGTAGCTAGCCATTCTGATATGTTTGTAGGTGGGGTTACAGAAACGGTACGCCTTACAGGAGAATGTCGCTTCACACCTTAGAATGAATTAAATATCTTTAAATTCAAGTGTTTTTACTTTTTCTTTTCTTTTTTTTGAAAATTTACATATACACAAATTAAAAATTGTAGTAAGGAAATATTTACAAACTCATAATTTTCTATAAAAAAAAATTTAAGAAATGTTTGAAAAAAATTCAACTAGTACTGATATGTATGTCATAAGAAATAAAATATTCCAAGTATTTATGGCTTTATATAGTTAAAGATAAAAATAGATATTAGTACCATAAAAACAGACATCTTAAGACAATTCATAACAAAAACAAGGTGGTAACAAAAAATATATTACCGTAAGATGGTAATACAAAAATATAACAATCTATATAGAAAATTTTGTGAGTTCTATTAGTCCATCCATCATACCCTCTAAAATAACCATACATTGACGAATCAAAACCAAATTTTGGTAGGGTGGTAAAAAGTACAGTTGGTTTTACTAGGGTGTATAGCTTAGTACAATAATTTTTCATTAATTTATGGGGAATAATTAAAAGTTTTATTATTTAACATACAAAATACACCCACTATTTTAAAAACAATTTAATAATTAAAATAAATACTTATTTAATAAAAATGTAATATTGTTTTTTTGCATATCTTTAAGTTTTTATATACATTTCATTCTGGTAAAATATAATGCACAGTCCTATCAACATAAATATGAACACAGGAGTTTCAAATTTCAAGAGTTGTAGAAAAATTTAAAAAAGAAAAAGAAATTTTCTTAAAAAGAATATTGTTTACCATGAAGTTCTATAAGATTAAAAAAATTATTAAATCATAAAGTAGGGTTTTGTCAAAGTATTTTTCCAAACAAATCAGTTTATTCAAATTTCATTGATTGGATTGCAAAATTGAACAAAACAGAGTTTATAAATCAATAAATAATACCAGCAATAATTTCAACTATATTAAATACTATGAGGGTTTTAACATGCATTAGTATGCTGTAAAAATTGGCTTATCAATAATTTCCTATCAGAGCAAACACAATGTTTATAGCAAATAAAAAAAATTACATCTAAGCCAAATGTCATATACAAGAAAAAATAATCTTTAAAAGGCTAAATACTTTTAAGCCCATTAAACATTCATTCTGCTTACAAAGAAATGGCTGGTAGGACTTGATGTTCATTTGATATAGCCCTGCTCAGCACTAAAAACATGCCTGAGCTATAAGACCTAGCATACTATTGGCTTTTAATCAAAAGTTCAGCTATTGCCAAACATGTTACAATTACATAAATTGTTCAACTTTCCCTTGTGAAAGTACATATTTGTTGATCAGTACTTCCAACCTTTGACTTGTTGTGCTTACATAGTCAGCATCACACTGACACCTAAATTGGTAAATTAGTGATCTAATAAGTAGGTGGATTATCCTTCCAGATTTGTCTCAACATAGGTTGGATACCAAAACAATAAGTTGATTGAAAAATAAATGGCTTTTTTTCACACACCAACAGAAATCTATTTTGTACTTTCCTTACCAATCAATGGTACACACAAATATACAGGTCCAATCAGCCTAGGCTTGCAAAATTGTAACATTTTTATCATGAATGTTGGGCTTCACAATGCCCAAATGTTAACCATTCTCACCAAGAACTATTCTAATAAATTCAATTTCAGCATCTAATTTAGATTCAAGATTTTAGTTAAGTTGATTTTTTTGCTGTTTAAAACAAAAATCCTTGATCTTTCCTCTGATGAGCAAGGACAAACAAACCAGTTTAACTGTCTTTTTTTAAATCATTGCTGTTTCAATATTACCATTTTACAGTAATATATTTTTGTTAAACTCTTTTTTTGAATTTCTCTTTTTTATGAATTTTTTTTTAACTTTCATTTTATCTAACAAAATGTATCATTGTGAAAAACATATTTAATGTTTATTTCCATTAATGTTTTAATATATACATGCATATAGTAGTAGAAAGTTTATTACTTTAATTATATATAAACTTTGTAGATCTAGTAGCCTAACCAAAAAAATTCAATTTGTTTAATTTTTACTAAAGAATATTAAATCTTCAACAATGTGGTCATTCAGAACTGCAATGTAAGTTGTCACATTCATATGCATGAAGAGAAATGTAAACCTGAACATAGTGATGTTGAAAACGAGGCAAGAAAAAGCTAGAGGAAATTTAGAATTAAATACTTTTATTGATTGAAGAAAAATTAAAATTACACAAAATAAACTGTATATATTTAGGGAGATTAAAATCATAATCAATATGGCTCCCATTAACAAACTATTCTCAACTTGACATGAAATGGAAAAATACAACTTAAAAATTCCTTTTACATGAAAAACTTGCAAGTTCTTTGGGGTTTTTTTTTTTTTTTTTTGGTTATACATCTAAATTTTCAACTGTCCCTCCCCCCACATAAGTCCGATTACGTTATGGTTAGGGCAAGCCAATTTTGTAACAATTGAAATGTCTTTATCAGTTAGAGACTTCTGATGTATAGCAAGGTGATCCATCATGTTGGAATACTTCAACTTTTTCTATATCTGGTAAAAGGTGGGACTTTAGTAAAGTAATATTTTTCGCTGTTCTGTGTTCCATTAATTTTTACCAAACCATTAAACCCCTAAATCAAAATTTAAGGTTTTTTTTGTATGTTTTTGGATTATTTCTTGTACCAATTGGTTTTTGAACATATTCTCATTAAAATTTAGTTTTATTAGACTTTTGTCACTTCTACCATTTTTTATTAGCCCAGAGCAGATGTCTTTTATCTCTACCCCAGTGTTTTTTTTTCATATTCAAGGCTTTTCATTTTTTTTTTTTTGCTGCAATGCATCCAATTAATTTACTTCTATACAATATCCTCTTTACTGCATAAAGTCACATTTCAGTAGTAATGATACTTTCATCTATTACATGATGAGCTTTTAATTCACTTAATCTCACTTTCTTTGATCTCTTTTGTCTAATTTCAAACATCTACCATATATATATATATATATATATGTCCAAGACTTTCCCAACATCAACATGCTTCTTCTGAGAGATTTGGACAGTATGATTCAAAATTCCAAGCTTCTTTCTGATTTCACATTGACTCATTCTTTGAAACATTTTAATAATTTTCATCTTTTCCAAACTCAATCTTTACACCTTGAAACTTAAATCAAGTATGCTAAAATACAAGTTGAAGGTTCCATAATTATGGTCAAAAAGAAAGTCACTTACTGAGAAAAAGGGCATGTGTGTTCTGCACAATATGCCAATGACAAAATAGAAACAAGTGAGTCACAGGTGTTGCCATAAACCTTGGATATGATAATATTGTATGTGTGTGGAGAGAAAGAGACAGATTACAAATAGAAAGAAAAAAAGAATGCCATCTTTCAAAAAATCTGATCAAATGACCAAGTATCATCAAATTTTACTGTCTTTTTTGTATGTTTTTAGACTGTTTCTTGTACCAATTGTTTTTTAACGTATTCTCATTAAAATTTAGTTTCATTATGCTTTTGTCAGTATATATATATATATATATATATATATATATATATCACTTCTACCCATTCTTTATTAGCCCAGAGTAGATGTCCTTTTTTTCTTTTCTTTTTTTGGGCCAGGGTTTTCTTCATATTCCAGGCTTTTCATTTAACGATGGATTTTTTGCTGCAATGTATCCGTTTAAGTTACTTCCTTACTGTATGAAGTGACATTTTAGTAGCAATACTATGTTCATCTATTACTAAACAAGCTGATAATTTCTTTGATCTCTTTTGTCTAATTTCAAATGACTACTAAACACTTTTCATGTCCAAAATGCTCCCAACATCAACATGCTTCTTGAGTGACTTGGAAAGTATGTATTGATATTCCAAGATCCTTAGTGATTTCATGTTAACTCAGTCTTTCTGACATTTTGAAATTTAAATCATTTACATACAATCAACAAATTGAAGGCTCTAGACTTTACATATGTTTGATCATTTAACAAGAATTTAACAAGCATATTTTAATTTGAGATGATTTTGATGTGTCAAAAGGTTCATAACATTTTCAGGTCTTATTTTTAGTTTTGTGTAGTTGTATGTTGGTTTTGGAATTAAAGGAGTTGACATTTCATACTGATGCCTTATATAGTTTTCATGTGACATCAGTATGAAGTGTCAACCTTTTAATTCCAAAACCAACATACAGCTACAGTGAAAAACATAATACCTTGTAGTCCAACATAAGCTGACTTATACTGTTCACTCCTATTTTGAGTAAGTCCAACTCTGAAATTAATTTTTAGCCATTAATGATCCAAACGTCCTTTGTTGTGTTGTCTCTGCATGTTTGCATTATTGCCACCTTTAAATCTTTTTTTGTATTATTGATACAAACAATACATATTTACAAAAAAAGAATAAAGAAAACAAATCTATGGTGACGTCTCAACAGCCATTATATGTGGTGCATTCCATATCTCCCTTTGTACAAAGCTCCCATGAATATTGCAACTAGTATTACTAATGAATTACTTGTATTATTAAAGAATGATTGTAGATACTATTCTTGAAAGTATATTGTCAATTTTTGTCTCAATAGCTCATTTCTTTTCCTTTATATATACATTATTGAAAATGTAGTTTTAAAAAAAATAACCCATTATCCAAAACAGTTGAGGATAAATAATTTTTTTTTTTTTTTTTAAATATGGTGGTAATCAGCCCCACAAAAAAAAAGAAAATCCGGAATATTTTTTTTAAAAATACAGGTTATCAGCATGGTACCAGTTTATTCCCAGTCACTAATTAAGCAAAAACTGTGACTCATTTCAAAATCATTCCTTTAAATCATGGTATACATTTAAAGAATTTTTTTTTTATTATCTCTGTTGAAGAAACAAAAAAAAAAAAAAAAAAAAAAAAAAAAAGACATGAGTTTTATAGGAATATTTTTTTTTTTAAATCTAACATTTATCGATATGAACTCAAATCCAAACCTGAAATATCTAACCATCTTCATTGATTATAGGGGGAAAAAATCTTTCTAAGGTTTTTTTTTTTTTTTTTATCATCCCATTGAAAAACCAGTTATATTTTGGTTTGTCTTCAAGTGACATTTCAACAAATTTCAAATGAAAATTATACTCATATATTTCATTTTGTGAAATACATTTGATGCTTTGACACGCATCTTCAGTGTTGTTTTAAGCCAAGGATCATTAGAAGTTTCAGGTCTTTCAACATCATATTCCCATCTCCACAATGATCCGGCCAATACTGATCAGGTATCGACTTGTGTGTTATGGGTTGAAGAGTAAGCTAAACTGGGATCTATCCTTAAGTGGTAGCCTGTCTAGGAGAAAGATTAATCTGAATTAAGAAATATATAGAGGGCAGAAATTACTCCATTATTTTTCACCATAAGAATTCATGGTAATTCACAGATAAAGAAATACAATGTGTATTATAAATTCAAAATTTATTATGTGTAGCTGACTTGCTTAAACAATAATTCAAATATTTTTACATGAATAATTTGCAACTATTTCATTCAGTGCACAAACAGTTTTTAAAACTTTTTTTTATATTAGCAATGTCAAGTTAATAAAAGCTTCAATAAACACTACTCTTTAAATCTAATGTTTTTATATTACTGAATTCATGAAACATTTTAGATTTAATGTGTTTTTAAAGATTTTTTTTTTTTAGGAATGAGACAGAAATACCTCACTAGTATTATTAATTGCATAAACATATTTTCTCATATGTGTCATTAGAATCAAAAAGATTTAAAACATTTCCTTACCTTCTCTTGGGTCTGAAGATAATTCTTGAAGGCTTTTGCATGTATCTATTCCAAGCCAATTTAATAAATTGTCTGACTGGCCACCTGTTTTTAAAATATATTAATAAAATTAATATTAAATAAGGTACCATCATAAACCTTTCTAGTATAAACAATTGCATAAATTTTTAAGCAGTTTCTTCATAGAAATGTTGCATTAAAAACAAAAAAATGAATATATCAACTTATTCTGGGCACTCCTCACCATTAACTTTCAATATTTTCCAACTTGCCCCAAACCTGATCAACTCTTAAATGTCAATGCAAACATATCCTCACTATATACCACCCACACCAAATTTGTAACTATTCTGGTATCTGACTGATTTTTTCCCTAAGTTTAAATGTATTTGTCATACAAAGATTGAATGCATATCAATAAAACGTCTACTAACTAAAGTTCATAATTATTATACCATGAAAAGATATTATTCCGACATAAAGTCACTTTTTATAACACACCCCTTCATTTCTAATCTTATTTTAAATATCAATTCTCAGTTTAGATAGTAAAAATCCATCTGTAATTGTTACCACATTTTAGCAATATACACAGAAAATTTTAGTTTTAAAGACAACACAAAAAATATGGAGGTACCAATCACAGCAGTTTCATACAATATTAAAAAGAGTTGAACTGTTATGTAATATCAGTCCTTCGATATGGCAGTGAATGTTGGACAATCTCCTCACACATGAAGAAGAGATTTGAAGCAACAGAAACAAAGAAAAGAGTACTGAAATGTTATGTAATATCAGTCCTCCTATATGGCAGTGAAGACTGGACAATTTCCTCAGAGATGAAGAGGAGACTTGAAGCAAACAAAGAAAAAAGTACTGAACACTTGCATAATACCAATCTTCCTATATGATAGTCAATGCTGGACAATCTTCTCTCAGATGAAGAAGAGATTTGAAGCAACAGAAAAGTGGTTCTACAAAAGAATGCTGAGAATACCATGGGCCAAATATGTGAGCAATGACAAAGTTTTAGAGAAAATGGAACAAAAATGGACACTTATACCCAACATCAGGAAGGAGTTGAAATTTCCAGGACACATTGAAGGCAAGAGGGATGAAGGAAAACAACACATGACCTACCTGTCAAGCTTGAGTAAATGTATGGTTGAACAGGGTTTTAGAAAGATAACAAAATTTATTAAGAGCTACAAATAATACATGCAACCATGAACAGGCATCTGTTGTGATCAGAACTGCCATACTGGTATAGTCAAAAATAATGAGTCCCATGGACTATAGTGACAGAACATGATGGTGTGAACCATAAAGAAGACTGAGGTTTCACCTGGTATTTCTGAGAAGAAATATAAGTATCTATGTTGGCTTTGACCCAAGAAGAAACCCCACTTACATGTTTTCAGTTTTCTGGGTTTTTTTTATTTTATATATTAAGATTATCAATAGTTTTAAACAAACTTGTTTTTTTGTTTTGTTTTTTTTTGTTTTTTTTAATATTCCTACATTAAGGATATAAAAAAAAATGAAGCATTTAAGGTCTTTAGCTGTGGCCAGAAAACCAAAGGAACAAAGGAAGTGTTCCGTAGCACAGATTAGTTTAAATTAGCTTTAAGCAATTTATGGATTTTTTTAATACCATAAATGTTATATTTAATGGTTACACATGTTTGAATAGACATCCTTGACTTTTTCTTTATTTTTAACAGTCAAAGTAATGTCTACCAGCTTAGAAATGAAAAGTCTTAAGAAAATGCTTCCAAACAGAAATCAAAGATTAAAAAGCGAATACAAGTTAGAGTCCTGTTAAAAAGCACATTTTATTTAAAACTTTTAATCTCTCAGTCAATAGACATTAATTTCACTGCTTAAAAAGTATGAATATTTATTCTAATATGTTCGTAGTAATTTAAATTATCACAAACAACTATATAAAATATATTTTATAAAATATCAACAGATGGAACTAATATAATTTGCACTAAATTAGTCAAGAAGTAGGTGGTAACCCCATCACCTATTTTTGCTAGTGGGTGGGCCATTTTATTACACTTAATAAAAACAGCATTTATGCTTTTTACAATATAGAAACAATAATAGCTTAATAAACTACATACTTTTTATCCAAGTTACCTCAGGTGATTGTATTACATTGATGTTTCCACAAATTAACTCATGCAGAAATATCTATGAAATAAATCAATAAGGTTTCCATATTAGAGAAAAACCTTTTAATTTTCCAAATATTTCAAATTATGATAGTATTTCTTAAACAGTTGTTTTTTTTATCAATTCATCCCAAGCAAGGTGATAATGCCACTAAGACAAGAAACTACTGAAAGTGAAAGAAAAAGAAGAGACTTTAGAAGCAGCCAGAAACCCAATCCTAAACAGGAAACAGAAGATAAACCTCTACTCCTGTTCAAAAATAAGATAGGAGAGAAGTGTGAACTGCTGAACGATAAGCATTTCATCTTATGTTGGTTACAAATAAAAGGCTTGCAGGATTAAGTCATACTAACACCAATAAATAAGACAACCAAAAAAGGTTTACAAAACTATCATGTTGGTCATTAACCCAAGACAGATGCACTAAGTTGGATCACAAGTTTTTTGATAGCCAACAACTTGAAATCCTGTTCTACTGGTTTTTCTGATATAAATAAGTGTCACAAAATGACTATTCCATACATAACACTAACTATAAAAAATTATGAAATAATTTTCATATTAAAGTTAATTCATTAAATACCAAAACCTTATCACAATTACTTTTAAACGAAGAACAATTTTTAAAAGGTTGGTGCTATGGCAGCAGAGGTTGAAACAGTCTAAAACTTTTTTTTGTTCCAGACAGCAATTGGGTGACAGTTTAATATCTGACATAAAAGTGCATATGAAGCAGAGATGTGTCACTGAATTCATCCATGTTGGAGAAAATTACATTGATACATGCTGAGACCAAACAATGGATGTGAGCACAGTTAAATAAGATTCTAAAAATAGTGATGTGTGAAAAAGTAGATTACCTGCAGATTTTTTTTCCAACAAGCTTGTTACTAGTGAGAATGCATAGCCAACATAAGTTAAGTTTGATTAACAGTATATCAACTCCTTATGGGTCATTTTGGAAATATGGTAGACAGGTATAGAAATTTATTAAATTATTGTTCTTAGTGGGGCTACAAGTTTTTTATTTTTTCATAGATATGTTCTGGTTTGTATTTGCCTCCCATTTTTTCAAGTTTCAATGATCCTATTTCTGCATTATTAACTGTGATAAGTTTGTTAATGTTTTTTTAAGGTCATCAGTAGTTTCTATATGTAAAAAAGAAGCTGATATAATACAAAAAATATGATAATTGTTTATGAAAACAAAGTACTCAGATATTGGGAAATCCATATTTAAACCTTTGGCAGAAACCAAGAAAAGTGTCAAAAATATAGAAAAAAAATGATTAAAAAATTAAGGTCTTTAAAATTGCATAAATGAAAAACTTCTGCTCAAATACATTCATTATATTTTACAGCATTTTCATATTTATGTATTTTAACCTCACCAACTAACTCTTTTTTTCTACAATAGAAGAAAATAAAAATATACAAAAATAAAGACAAGTGGAGGCTATCACTTGTCTTTATTTTTCAAATCAAAATCAAATATCAGAATCAGTGCCTAACTCGCATTAAAGTATATGAGGTCCCTAATTATAATCCTGGGATCTCATTTAGCGGCATATTTTCGCCAGTTCAAATCATTGTCCTAATTCCTAACTATCTACATAAAAAAAAAATAGACATTCAGCTTCATGATTAACAGGAGAGCTTTTAATGTTATTCCCACTTGATTGGATATTGAAGGTCTAAAGTTACTGCTTTTAGTATAGGTAGACTGATCACTTTGCAAGAACTCTCAGGCTGCACTCATAAAACTCTACAATAACAGAGGCAACCCATCTGAAGTAGACTTTTAGAAGGAGTCAGAAACCCAATCCTAAACAGGAAAAAAGCGATAAACCTCTACTCCTGTTCAAAAGACTGGGGAGGAGGAGTGTGGAGGTTTGCCTATTGCCCGGTTTACACTCCTCCCCTGTCTTTTGATACTCACTTCTCCTTTCCTACCCTATAACTCCACACAGTGACTCTGAGTAGCACTTGGGCCTTGTATTGGGTGAAAATTTAAAAAAAAAAAAAAAAAAAAAATATAAAATAAAAACTATCACCTAACTGTGCTCACATCCGCAGTTTCGTTTCTATAAGTGTTCAAGTATCAATGAATGTCAACAGCCATAGTTTTTTCACCTCTACTTCAAAATGCTTTCATGTCAGACACTATTTTGATAGACTACCACTCAGTAATTATATGTCATAAAGCAAAATAAATTATGGGTTACTGCCAAGAAGGCTAAACCTCCATTGTCAAACACCCAAAATCAGCCTCTGACATTATTAACTAATGAAATATACACTTTCTGAATGACTTATATACATTCAGTGTTTGCATAAAATAATCATTATGTATATTTTATGGGGATATAAAATATACTTTTTACAAGTGATATGAAAGTGTAACTGGATATGTCTTAAGCTTGTCTGAACATGTTAATTTCTATTAAGAATTTAAAACCCAAAGTTGTAGACACTAGTTTTCTATTTTTAAACAAATAGATTATTTTATATAATAAAAACTTAAGACTATCATCATGTAGCAAAGGTTTTGAATTTTTCTATTATTTTTTTTAGATTATTAGCACAAAAAATAAAAAATTTATTGTCCATTTCATTTTATCTACAAGTTTGTTTTTTATTTGTCCTTTAACAAACTTTTGTTTACTTCAAACATAATAACAATTATCTATTGTTAATATTATTTTGGCAATTTTTAACCTATGTACCCCCTGTCCTGCTAAAAAATTCTGTCTAAAGGATGTTTTTTGTTTTTTTCTCTCTTAACATTTTTATTACAGTATACTCTCTCAACAATGTTTATTGCTTTAAAAAGGTATGTTTGGAATTTAAATAACAAAAATATTACACCCTATTTGGCTGTTTATTTACAAGATTAAAAA